ATAATATTTACTTTTATATTATATGCACTATTGCTACTATGATGAATCAGCACTGCAAATCTTAAAGATACTCGTTCAAGATGTGAAAGAGTATATGTGCTCTGTGTAGTTTTCGTTTTACTGAAATCAGATATAAGCTCCTTCAAAGGATTGTCCAACAACTAAATCAAATCGCTAAAAACTCTGTCATCTACAGTTTCAGAGCTACTACTATTCAGATGCCCTGTATTTTCCATAGATTTTTACCTCTAAATTATTTGTTCACATCTATTGCATGAAATGAGAATATAATTGAATATTTTTGCAAATTATGGGGACTTTATGAATAACTGTTTTGCATTTGCATTTGCATTTGAGTTGAGCAACAAGAGAATAATTTACTATTATTAATTTATTTCATAACGGGGGGGAAAAAAAAACAAAAACAAACAGAGAAAACTAATTACAGCCATTAGAAATATGTTTTGCTTAATCAACTGATTATGCAATAGGAATTGCAATTTTGTTTGCATTTGTTGCTGTTGATAAAAGCGTAACGATAATAATTGCATATGTATGTGTGTGTGTGCGTGTGCGTGTGTGTAGAGCGAGTGCTTATCGTTGATTGCTTAATCGATTGTCATGTATTATTAAATTCATATATTATATAATCTACCTATATATGTGCATATATATATATATTTACATGCATAACTCACAATGCTAACGAGCAATTGGGCTGCGATTTATTTACTCTGAAATTAATGGAACAGAATAAAAAAACACAGCATATAAAATAAATAAATGCAGACATAAAATGAAAATTGCATTTATTCTGCGCTGGGCGTGTGTGCTTAAATTAATAATTTCGCTTTATGAATTGTTTGTGTAATTTAAACTGAAATTATGCAATTAATCAAGCGTCAGCCAGAGCCGGCACAGAACTCGGCAGCAGCTTCTCTTTTCTCTGATGTCATAAAACGTTTCGAGCCACGCTCAGCTCTCGGCTCTCGCACAGAGCGCTGCTGGATCAAGCCGAAGCTTGCATCCACGCTCCACAAGTAAGACCAAATATGAACGATACATATGTAGGCCAAAGTAAGAGAAATGACCTTAGCCATGTCGAAAGATTTGTAACATGCCAAAAACGAACAAAGCAGAAGGAAATAAACACAGAAATACTAAAGTAAAAAAAAGCAAGGTATGAGCATAACGAATATGTAATACCCTTAGAAGATAGAGCTTAGACGTACTTGAGTGTTAAAGCTATAAAGCAGAGAGAGAGAGAGAGAAAGAGAGAGCTGTTGGCAAACGTAGGAAGTGATCTTATAGGGGATATTCGCCAACTTAACAAATTCTCGGAATATGTTATCAATTGAAATTATGAATAATACGAATGATTAATTTATAAATAAACAAATATTATGAATAATTGAAATTCAAATACCTACAAAGCTCTAGTCAAGTGATCCTCACTTATATACCATGAGTCCACAGGCTTTGTTCCAGTCAAATATATATATATATATTCTTTCCTCATATCTTATACCTAAAAGACTCATATGAGTTTCTGATTGTTTCAAAATATCTATTCCGAAAATCTTGAAATTATTTTACACATTTTTCGGCCCATTAACAGTAAAATACTTCGTGAAGAATATTTTGATTGCAGTTATATATGTATGTATATACATATATTCCACTATATGCATATACTGTCTATACCCAGCAGCTGAGTTGGCTCTCTTTTCGCTTGGACATTACGTAGCTTAAGAGGAAATCGTGCATACTCTCTGCTAGTGGTATTATAACTCACAGAGACGCCAACGCCAACGCCGAAGCTGCGCATGCGCATATGCTAAAGCTGAAAAAAACAGACATGAAGGTTGCTTTCTTCGATGAGTTCTTTGCATCAGTATACCCTGTAATAATAAATGCATGGGCTATATGCGTACAGCGTATAGGTGCAAATACACATGTTTGTTCTACTATATATACATGTGTATTTTTATTTAGTATGAATATATAATTATTTGCAGCTATTTTCATGCAGCTCGACTGAGTTGAACGGCGAAGTTTAGTGATAAACATAATAGAAACGCCCCTCTTTGCGACATTCATGAAAGTTGAGTCAACAGCTTATGATTAATAAACTTGGATTTGTTATATATGTATATATATGTATATGTATACCTACATACATATATGAGGGTATTTTATGGTCGAGTTCTCGACATAAACAATTTGGGTTTTTTCTCTTTGCCCAGAATCTTTCGCTGTGTATTTCTTGTTATTGCTGTCTGTATGTATAAGGCGTATATATATTTGTAGCATTGCGTATGTTTGGGTCTGCGCTTTTGGATGCTGCGTATGCTAAAATCTGGATCCGTACTCTAAAGTTTGGTATCTGTGTGCGTGACCTATTTAAAGATTTTGAGCTTCTTTTAGCGTTGATTTTAATGCGTATTCAACTCGTTGAGGAGGATAAGTCTTAAAAGCAAGAATATATGTATAGTTTCTTATATCGGAAGTTTAATATACATACATGTATGTATGTATATACTAATTTCATTATGAAATAACACATTTAACATTTCTTTATTTATGAGCTTATAATAAACAATTTGTAATACATTTGCATTTACATGTTTATACACTAAAAACATATTAGACGAATGACAATTAGCATACATTTACTAACCAATAAATTAACAAATTATAAAAAAAAAGTTTCATAAATCGTTATGAACACATTAAATATCCACATAGATCGCAATAAATTCTAGATAATCGCATTGAATAATGGCAATAAACTTTAATTTATAATCAACAAATTCTCAAGCGAAATGCTTTGCATATATACCTATATGTATAATATATATCCTTATGTTCATTTCTCTTATATTCCATTATTCTCTGATTTCCCCATTTCAATGGGTTAATTCTATTAGTATTACTATGTCTATAAGTCTGACTGGCCCAGCAACAAGAGAAATTTTAATGTCCTAGGGGCGTGGCGAGTGAGAAAAACTATGTCTGAGACCGTCTTAAAGTTGGAATTAATAAATTCTTTATATATAAACATCTATAATTGTTGCAGAACAGGAAAATTCGATCATTCCAACAATGTAGAGTTTTTGAATACATTGAATGAGTATATATAATTTATTGATGATTTAGTCATAACTCAATTATAATTGCTATAAAAAGGAAGCATTTATCTTTATAGATACTTATATTGTTTATAGATACTTATATTAGTATTTATGAGAGATATCAGGTTACAGCAATATACTTAACTATCTTTCAACTATCATTCACTAAATAATTAAGCATATACTTNTAGAATCAAATGGAGACTCTGAACTATAAATTGAAAAAAATTTTATATTTCAAGCCCACACACATTTCTTTGTCTCTGTAAACAATGCTAAATTCAGTCAACAAATAACAATTGATAAGGTTTTTCCTTTCTTGCTGCCTATTTTTATACCCTGAACCCATTGAAAATGGGAAATCAGGGTATAATGGTTTTGTGAAAAGTATGTAACAGGCAGAAGGAATCATCGCAGACCCCATAAAGTATATATATTCTTGATCAGCACGACGAGCTGAGTCGATATAGCCCTGTCCGTCTGTCCGTCCGTCCGCCCGTCCGTCCGTCCGTCCGTCCGTCCGTCCGTCCGTCCGTCCGTCCGTATGAGCAAAAGAATCTCAGAAGATATAAGAGCTAGAGAGCTGAAATTTGGCATGCATACTCGTGTATACCATAGGCAGTACAAGTTTGCTTTATTTTTTCGATAACTCGTCCGATAACTTTTTTATCGAGAATAATCGAAAAATCGACTTGGTTTTTTCAGCATAATTTTAACACTTTTAGACCTGGAGACTTCATATTTGGGTTGTATATAAAGTTAGTGGATACAAAGATTTTGTAATTTGCAGATTTTGGATACCACGCCCCCTTCTCCCCCAATTTGTAAAAGTACTAGTACTAGTACTTTTCAAGTACTAGAGACTTGTGCTTTGGAATGTACACATATTTTAACCATATGATTACGCTCTGAAAGTTTCATTAAGATCGTATGTCTACAAAAGAAATTATTCAACAAATAAATTCTCATATTATTGCCCACATTGCAGCGCAGCCCAAGCGCAGTCGCTGCTAACTGCGCAGTCAGCAGAGCACGTGCTTATAAGTGCATGTGTATGTATGTGTGCATAAAAGAAGTCCAGACTGATTAGAATATCAGCTTGGAGGGTTCAGGGTATCTCCTAGTCGAGCAGTCTCGACTGGAGCCTTCTTACTTGTTTTGTTAAATTTATAATCTTTTAAAGCTTTCAATTTGTGTGTTGACCTTGAATTGAGCTGCATTTGAGACTAGATAATAGCTGAACTACAGGGCATAACTAACAATGTAATATATAGATGTCTAAGATTAATCGACGACAAATTGAGGAATCGAGATGTGAAAACGATATGAAAATGTTCATTATTATAATCGTTGTTATAATAATAATGCTAATAAATATGCATGAAAAATGTTTCGCTAGGCTCCGACGCAACGTGAAATGGTTTTTTGATTTCTTGTTGTTTTTGTTTATCGTAAATGTTCCGAGCGATAAAACTTTCACCTACAAATCAGACACTAAACGAATTTCGTATATGATGAAGGAGAAGAAGAAGAAGCAGAAAAAAATCAACCAAAGAAAGTTTAGAAGTTTTTAATCGTCAGAAGCAACAATTCCAGACAAAGAAAGATGGAGAGAAACAAAGAGTGAGGGACAGCGGGAGAACGAGAGCGAGATAAAACAATAAGAGAGGTTAAAGAAGAAGAGCGAAGAAACAGCAGCTATTCTGAGCTGAGGCGGCCCACTCATTTGGTTTATGGCTTATTAAACTTTTTTTTTATGGTTTTTAATCAAAAGACAAGCTATTAAAAAATTGTATGCCCATCAAAAGCTGACAGGGGCTAACACATATCCGAACTGCCCGATCCCATATAGTTGTAAGTCTCACAGATTTTTAATGGCTTACTGGGCGGCTTATCAGCATGCCTAATTGGCCATTGAAATCGCAGATCTGGTGATGATACTTCGAGGCGACGGACTCATCAAACCAATCGAACATCATTCCTTCTATATGTGTATGTATCGGAATTGGAATATGAATCTGAATCTGAATCTGAAGTTGTGACTGCGTGACGTTTTAATGGCCATTGTCACACTCTAAGCGTTTAATGCTGCACATCCTGCATAATCTGCTGTGAGTGATGAGAAAAGAAAGTTTGCCAATAATAGCGATGCGAAAAGAAATGGCTAATTAATGCAAGTGAAAGTGGGCAGCGAAATAATGGCCAGGAGTCTGTGTAATGAGGATGGCAAAACAGCAAATTTAATGCGTAAGCGAACAAAAAAAAAAAAAAAAAAAATGAATAAAGAAAAATGATGAAAACAAAATAATAATAATAATCAGTGAAGTGAATGCCATAAAGTCCATATGATGTTAATCAATATTGATACGGATATAGATGTAGAGGTGACTGGAGATGAGGATTTAGATGCAGATAGATGTGAACGAAAGTAGTGATATAGTTATACTGTATAGATACAAGAAAGAAGATAGGAGATAGATAAGAGATAGGAAGTAGGAGTAGGAGTTAGGAGATAGGAGATAGGAGATAGGAGATAGGAGATAGGAGATAGGAGATAGGAGATAGGAGATAGGAGATATGAGATAGGAGATAGGAGATAGGAGATAGGAGATAGGAGATAGGAGATAGGAGATAGGAGATAGGAGATAGGAGATAGGAGATAGGAGATAAGAGATAGGAGATAGGAGATAGGAGATAGGAGATAGGATATGGAAGATTAGAGATAATAGATGGGAGACAAGACATAAAAGATAGAAAATAGAAAATAGGATATACATTGAGATAGAGATTAATAAAGTGACATTGACTTAGACATAGAAAAAGATATAAATACATATTTACATATTAATTATAACAACTATTTGTAGCTTCTCTAACCTGGTGATTTTTTTTACTGTTGCAGTGCTTTCCACACGAATGAAACAGTTGGCCATTCTGTTAAACGATTTCAACTTTGAGTGCATCGGCACTGCTCAGACCGACGATGAGAACGTCATCTGTGAGAGCTTAAAGCGCTTCGGTGCGATTATTGGCACCATCGAGGATGAACGCGAGAAAATGGTGGGTGCTGCAACATTATATATTATATACATAGCATACCATATTATATACTCTACATATATCACATATTCATTATATGCATTTCACAATTTGCAGCTAACTCTTGCGGATAAACATATTATTGAATCGCTGGAGGATTTTCGCAAGAAACAAATCGGCGGTGTCAAAGAGAACAAAAAGAAGTTTGACAAGAAGACGGAGAAGTTCTGTCAGTCACAGGAGCGCTTCCTCAACATGTCAACCAAAAAGCCAGAGAACACGATACAAGAGGTGAGAGTCGCCCAAAGTCATAAAATTCTCCAATTTCGTTCACAGCAATCGTAGACAAATTTCATCCAATTGCTTTGAAACTTGGCGCTGTACGAAAATGCCAACAGCCAAACAAATAGAATTCGTCTACACTTTTATCCTAGCGTCCTGTGTGCCTTAGTGTCTGTATTCGGTACACGCCCTGATCCAACTGCAATTGCACCACCGCCCACCCCTCGAGAGTCCCGAAAGCCCCAACAGTTTTTCGTTGGTTCCACTACTTACACAATGCATATACATAGAAGAGGAAGAAGAGTTTTATTAGCGCAAAAAAAAAGTGGCAAAGTTCCATGACCTACGTCAAATTGCATCAATATAACGTACAGTAGACACTGGTAGATGAGAGACAGGAAAAACTACGAACTTTGTTGAAATGTACAGTAAAGTAGAATATGAATTATGGAACTTGATATTTGTATGATATGTTATAATATATGTTATACAAATAGTATAAAGTTCCAAAGTTCCATTTATGTATAAATGTAAATATAGAATATATAGATTGTAAACCTGTATTTTAAACTTCTCTAGAACAGAATTTTTGCTGGAGAATGAGTAAAAATTCAGTAGAGAAGCCTTTCTAATATTACTGGTTTTCATTCTATATAGGCAGATTAGTATTCAAATTAATGATACTAAATATTATACTATCTACTGAACAAAGTTCTTCTAAAATGAATTCATTTTCAGATTAAGTTTCCATTTTGCAATAGAGATTTTTTTTCTTCTTCACTTTTTTTGAATTGAATTCTGAATTCCATCACCAATATCGGCTTTGTCGCTTGTCAGCTATTCACTGCGGCTGGCTTAGCCAGTCTTCACTGTGTGCATCGCCTAGGAATTCGTATACACAATGTGGCATGCAATCGTTGCATTTGCTGCTATTTACTCTGCGCTCGCTGCTGCCTCTGGACTTTTGTGGTTGCTCTGGCTGTCAAGTTTAACTGGCACAGTATATAATGTGTTATTCTCTGCTCCTCTGTATGTGTTTGTTGAGGGTGGTCGTTGGCTCGTTGGCTCGTTGCTACAGCAGCTATGTAGTAAAGCTCTTCTTCTTCTTCTTTTTTTTTTTTGGCCAAATGTTGCCCACTTCCGCATCGCACTCTAGCCCCTGCCGCCTGATCCTGGCCGTAGTAACTATTGCATATTGCCATGGCCAGACATGCGCGCACCGAGCTCCCATTTTGTGGCCAGCACGTTTCCGGTCATGCATTTTAAAATCTATATGCATATACATACATATATGTATATATATATACATATATATAGTGCAAACACATTTTATGAACATTAAGTAAGAGCATAGAAAACATCCAACTGGAAATCAGTTAAGTAAATGTTGAACGCTTTCGGCCAAGTCAAGTAATATTGAAGGTATTTTCTTGACAGCTGGATTTGATTTTCTAGAGAGTAGTATACATATAAGATGAGCTTTGAGCCAAGCACATTGTAGAAAGAAAAATTCAAATAAAAAGGAATCAAAAGATAACTTTTACAATTTGCCTTTCCATGCATTTTCGTTGCTAAAAAAAAAATCCTTAAAATGCAACTGGGATGCTCAGCGAAAAGTCATTGACCCAAAATCTGTCTAGTTGACCTGTAGAACAATTTTTGATTGAGGTCAATGAACTTGGACAGTGGGCCGTGTGGCTGGACAGTCACAAAAATCAATTCGTGAACCGTTTGGACCACTCTGTACGCTTTTGACCTATTCAATGAGTGCGGCCAAAAAGTAAACAGTTACCCATTCTTTATTGTTGCTGTTGCTTTTGCTTTTGCTTCTCTTGCAATGAGTGCGGCCAATGTAAACAGGCTGCGGTGGGTGGGCCCCCGGTGAGCTATGTAAACGAAACGATGATGCATTGGGACCCGACGTGTGGCCAACGCATCGACGGAACTCGGCTGATGCATCATCATAGCCTGAGCCATTGGCAGCTTTTTGATTGCATATTAATCTAATTGGCACGCGTTCCTAGGAAAGACCAGCCAGCTGCAATTTCCAATTGGGTCAGCTATTATTTTGTTGTTGTTGTTGGTTTTATTTATTTGGAATGGAATGGAATTTACGGGAGGCTTTCCATTTTTATTATAAATATGTGTCTTCCAGTACTGAAATTGTAAATATTTGCAGATTATTTGGAAGATTTTTAGTAATTGAGATTTGGGGCTGTTTGATAACTAAATTTAATTAAATTGGGCTCAACTTTGATAGAACTAGAATGATTGAAATGGCAGCGCGGTATCTTCTAGTCGTGCACGCCCAACTGGAGCACTATGATTTTTAACTTTTACACATCTATATCTAACTTTATAAATAAGTCGAATGAAGCTGAGCTAAGTCCTCTAAGTCCTTCAAAAACAGATTTATTTACTTTATATACATATATACTCCAGGGTCAGTTTATTTCTAAATACTCATCAAAGCACACTTCGGAATGTCACTGCTATAAATGGCTCTATCAATAATGCAGGCGAACAATATTTATCGATTCGAAATTAGTTGAAAATGTCGTTAAGCGTTGAGGTGGTTAACTGCCTGGATGGCTGAAAGCGATTTGAGCCACTTAGTGAATTCAATCAAGCCACAATTTGTGAGCAACCTGAACAGCGGCTGCAGTGTTGCAAGTGTGGCGCGAGTGGGTGCTCTTCGATTGGCTAAATGGGCGGTGCAGCCGCTGCGGCCGCCAGTGGCTAAATATTGATTTTTGATGCTTTGGCATGCGTGTCACGTAACCCGCGTCGTCGCCGTCTCTGTCGCGTGGCTCTAAGCCGGCCAGCCAATGGGCATGTGTACCTGCCTTTGATATCCTGGCATTTTCAAACATTTTCCGCTTCACACCCTTGCGACGCGTCGGTTTCCATGCCGGCTAACCAAGCAGGCAGTCAGCCAGACAATCAGCCGGCCGGTCGGCCGGTCGGCCTTGTTGCTTGACTGTTTAACTGTTCTCTGTTGTCTGATGTCTGTCGTTTGTCGTTTGTCGTCTGCATAAGCACCACAATTTCGTTATCAGTCACGCTTCGTTGTCATTGTTGCAACACCAAACACACACACACACACAGCCCGTTTTCCCGTCTGCCTACTATAGCTCTGCCCCTTTAAGCTGTGATATTTTCTGCTTTACTTTATATATTTTTCGCTTAAATTGTTTTACGTTCCAAAGTTTGCTAAGGCGCTTTCCCAGCGTCTCCCAGCTGGGCTTAGCATGTAAAGCCTATTAGAGTCTACAGACCGGGCCCAGCAGCAGCGGGCGGAGGCAGCAGGAAGCAGGAAGCAGCAGCAGCTASAAGAGCTTAACAAATTATGCTTATTCCTTCTACTTCTTATGAACAAATTTAAAAAAGTTTATTATTTGGTGTTAGTCGATGTTGCTTTTTACAAACGAGTGAATTTATCTTTATACTCTTATTAT